AAGAGTGTGCATCCCAAAGACCTCTCACACTTAACGAGAGGTTATTTTCCTGAGACAGTTGCATGATTAACCTACCCATGGCGTGTTGTACTTAGTGTGAAGGCTGTGCTTTGAAAGGGAAAACAAAGCTGGCCAGCACAGACTACAGTACATGCACAGAGGTGGCCTGTGTTTTCTGGTGGTGGATCCCAATTCTGACCTATTTTGTGTGGATGAAAACTTCTACTGCTTGGTTTGTCAAAAGTCTCTTGCCTCCCTTCACCACAGCTCAGGTGCTGAGCTGCATCTCTCTGTGTTCCAGGCCCCCAGCCCTGTTGAAAATGTGCTGTCTGGTCTGTTAGAGAGCAAATTCTTGGAATCTTCAAATGATAGTGAGAATTTGTAACCTTGCAACTTGGAGCGATGGGGTGTGGGGTATTTAAGTGGTGCGTTCCAATGTCTGATCACTACCATCTTTATCTGTAGCTCCTTCAAATTGTTTTTGGAGCTGGAGCCACAGGTTCGTGACATCATCTTCAAGTTTTATGAATCTAAATATGCTTCATGCCTGAAGATGCTGGATGAGATGAAGGTGAGTTGCAGGGGAGCAATGCGGAGCAGACCCTAAAAGTTCCCTTTTCCTAGCCTTTTGTGAGAAGCAGTCACTGTTAAAAATAGCTACTAAGAGTGTTGAGCTCTTCTGTGTCTTCTGTCTCCTGATGCGAACGGAAATTGGGAGTAGTTTAGCAGTAGAGGGTGAGGGGAAATGATGAATTTTTAAAATATATTGCCAGTTCTTTTATTCATTCTTGTTTATGGCATCATCTTGCTGTAGTGTAATATCCTGAAGGTTGAAGTATATGCACATATATGTTTCAGGACATAGGAATAATATATTTTTCCAGGCTCCTTCTCAGCTTCTGGTATGTTTTTTTGCACAGGACAACCTGCTGCTGGATATGTACCTTGCACCTCATGTCAGGACACTTTACACCCAGATTCGAAATCGTGCCCTTATCCAGGTAATTGTTCCTGTAATTGTGAGAGGGATGAACAGTAAGATAGGTCATCTCTTTGTAATTGCTTTTCCCATAGTTTTTCAGAGGGTGGGGAGTACACCTAGCAACTGAATATTTTCCTCTTCTTAGTACTTCAGCCCCTATGTGTCGGCAGATATGCGCAAGATGGCCACTGCTTTTAATACCACAGTGGCTGCTCTGGAAGATGAACTTACTCAGCTGATCCTGGAGGGACTGATCAATGCCAGAATAGACTCTCACAGTAAGGTGAGTGCATCTGAGCGACAGACTGAACTGCTGAACTGAGATTAGAAACTCTGCATTCCTGGGATACTTTGAAGTTGCATTAATCTGCTGTGACTGGTATTTTCAGTAGGGCCGATCTGTGTGTAAACTCAGATCCGTGATACCTTAGCTTTGTTCCCTTGTGCAGAAAGGGCTTCCTGATGTGGAACCCTGTCACAGCTCCTGGGTACAGTTCTCTGTATTGGTTGCAGATTCTTTATGCTCGAGACGTAGATCAGCGCAGCACAACTTTTGAGAAGTCTTTACTAATGGGCAGAGAGTTTCAGCGACGTGCCAAAGCTATGATTCTGCGAGCTGCAGTCCTGCGCAACCAGATACATGTCAAGGTATGGACATGTTAAATGTGGACTTTGACACAGTGTTAAGATTTAAATTTTTTTTTTTAACTGAAACTATAAAAGTTAGTGAATTGCAGATTCTGGAGGGGAATGGATTTATTGTGCTTGTGGTTGGACAAATGCTTACAATAGTAAATACTAGATATATAAGGAACGAGTGTTTCCAGCCAATACATTGACCTGCTTGTACGACACAGAATTTCCTTTGAAGTTTATATGCTTGGATTGATACTAACTAATTCATTCCAACTAATTCTTGATACACGTCTTTTATCGAAACAAAGATTATTTGAAATAATTATTTTTAGTAGAGGAACTAAAAAATGCAGGAGTTGCTTGGAGTGTTCTTTCCAGGATGCAGTTCCAAACCAATGCCCTTAGGGAGGATAGGCCGTCTGCCACAGAACATGTTAAATTCTGTACTATATTAATCTCTGTGATGACTGAATGCCAGATAGCATTTGGCTTCTGGGGTCAACAGCACCTTGTACATAGTAAAGAAGACTGGCTTGAAAGTTCTGGTTTGACTTTTTTAGGAACACTTCTTGTGAACTGTAACTATAGACATTGTAAACACAAAGCTTTTGCAAAGCTGTCATTATGGAAGAGTTGGGGGTATGCTCTCCCCCTGCTGTCATCCTGCTGTGCTTCACCTGTGCTTCATTTGGTCTCTCAGGAAGCACTCTGCAGGATACTTACACATCACTAACTGGGATGTGTTTTGGTCTTGTTGCAGTCTCCTCCGAGAGAAGGTAGCCAAGGGGAGCTTACTCCAGCTAACAGCCAGTCCAGGATGAGCACCAACATGTGAAAAACTTCGTGCACTACCAAAAGAAATGGTCCCTCCAGGACTGTACCCAGTGTCTCACCCACTCATTGCTGAGCTTCACAAACTGTCCCTGTCTCCCTCACTTCTTGCTGGTATTGAGGGGGTCAGGGCTGATGGCAGATAATACGAATACTCTGCTAACTTCAATTCTCCTTGAAATTATTTCTAAAAACAGCATCCCTGCAACGGGTCATCATTTCAGTTTTGGTAGAACATCTTCCTCCATCGTCCTTCTTCCGCCACTCCATAAAGAGCTGTCAGGTTATTCATACAGATGCTGATTTGAGAGTTTTTCAGCTGCTATTAGTTTATTTGTTTCAAAGCTGCAAAAATAGTGTTAAGTTGAATGGACAGGTGTGATCTAAGATGAATTTCGCTGGCCTGAAAGTATTGCCTTGATTCCGAGCAATGCTGAGCTTTCTGTTCGTTCCAGATAAACTTAACAAGTGCATTGCTCTCAATTATGGAGCTAGAGTTCTGATGGGAGAGGAGATTTCCTCTGAGAAACTCTTAATGGTTTTTCACCTACACCAGAAAACATGGCACTGCTTCCATTAATTCAGTTATGGGCCTTTATTTTAGGGTGTTATGTTTACCTGGATCCAGGTTCTTTCTCTCTGGTCTCTGTTCTCAAAGACCTGTTTCCTGATGTGTTTCCCACTTGTGCATGACCTGGCTTTGGGGTCCAGTGTTGTTATAGCAGTAAATCTGTACTTCATGCAAATATTGCTGCTTGTCCAGTCTTACTGCCATAGTGTGTGATGGTTTCCCAACACGTGCAACAGTTGCTTCTGGTAGCATGGATAAATGCCATAAAATACCACTGAAGTCCTGTGGAAGAGCTGAAAGCAGCCAATCTAGGTGCCCGTTCTCCAGGTGCATTTATTCTGCTTTTCCTTTTATAAAGGGATTAAAGGTGGCAGCCAGGTGTGTGCATGTTCTGTGTTAATGAAAGGAGATATGCACTGAATTTTCTGAAGTCATTGCAGCCTTGCATTCATCTAATCCATAAGGCAAGCTAAGAATTTTGATCCAGCCATGAGTGGTCTGGCAACTGACTCCAGATGTTACTGTTAATGTGTTAATGCGCTTTTTTTTTTTTTTTTTAAATAAGTTGTTATATCTAGTGCATTAAACAGCAGGACTAAAAAGCTTCTGAGTATTTGGAGTTTTGTGTTAAAGGTGGGGTTTAGGTATTTTGATCTCAAGCCATTGATTTTTTGCTAAGCTTGATGATGTTTTGTAGGCTGTTTTATTTTGCTTTCTGATCTGGTTGGAGGTGTAGTTTGGATGAACTATGAAGAAAGTGCAACTTGAGGGAGTGTTGTAACAGCAAAATTCCCAGACTGCGTTTGCACAGCTGCTGAATTGCAACAGTGCTCCCTCCCTCTAGCTGTCTGTGCTTTTTACGACTTAGGTGCTGAAAATGGAAGCAATAGTTCCTGTGAAGTCTGTGGTTAAAAGTCTTCCATTTGGCATGGAAAAGTTCTCCCATTTTTGAGAAAGGGAGAAAGGAGAGAGCTGGTTAATCAACACCTTCGAGTCAGGCATCACCGGTGGCCAGTCTAGTGAGAAAGGCAAGCTGAGTCCTCAGGCAAATTGCTGTACATCCTTGGAGAAATGCTGGGAAAGTAATTTTAATGTCTTCTGCTTGTGCTGAAGGCAAGCGATTCAGTCCTATAATAGTACTTCTTGCTTTCTTCCCAAAATGGGCCGCTGATACCATTTCTAAGGAAAAGATCTTACGCTCTTTGCTCTCGAAAAGATGGTTTTGCAACCCAGTTAAGTGCATCATGTCAGCTGGCTGTCTCTGCTTACGCACAGCTTCCACTCTTGATTTTATTAGATTACTTCGGTCCCTTCCTGGAGGCTTTCTGCTGGAGGAATCCTCAGTTGTAGATGGACATCTTCAGCATGCTGGCTTGAGAGTCTCTGCTCTTCCAGGCACTAGCGCTTGTCTGCTCTCGGGAAGTGGCTGGAAGTGTGTATCCTGTAGCAGTCAGCATGGAGCCCACGAGGTGGCAACAGCGGTTTCCAGCTCTTGCTGCGGCCCGAAGGCAGTTCCAGAGCTGGGGCAGAGGTGGTCAGATTCTTCTCTCCAGCCAAAAACTCTTACAACCTCTTTTGGAGAGATGGAGCATTTCTCTTTTATTGTGTAGTTCATTGGCACTGTTCAAGCACAGTCTATGCTTTTGTGTAGAATTACTGCCATTAACTCTTTCCTTTAGCCAGTGAAAGAACCTGCTGTTGCTTTAGGGTCTTGTAGGTGTGAGTCAGGGCTGCCCAGGCATATTTCTTCTAGACATGTTCAATGCCAGATTCAGCGCTAACTACCTGCCAGTCCAAAAATCAGGCAATAGAACACAGCATGGATGTAGTTCTGTATAACTTGCATTCATAAGCAGTTTCCCTCAGTGAAAGAATTATTTTTACCTTAAATTTCTAAGTAATTTCACAAGTAATAAATGGGAAAATAGAGACTCACATAGAATGAATTTCCAGTGATTCCCTGTGACCACCATGTAATCCAGGGGATGCAGTTTTGTGGGATCTGTAGCATGCTGATATATCTAGGGGTATGTTCAGAGGAACTTAAATTTAAGCGGATTTCATGAACTTGTGCAGCACTTTGTTGACGAGGAAGGACATGCCAGTGGTAGGCCATAGTTGATGGTGTCCTCATGCAGTGTAGATCCTGCTTTCTTTACCTCACCTAGCTAGGGATAAAGGAAAAACAGTTGTAAAGAACCTGGTTCTTCTTGGCGAAGGCAGTTTTAATTAGCACAGCTAATTCTAGTGGTAATGTAGAAACTGCCATTATGAGATTTGTCTTGGAGTAGTGGTCTGTGTTGCTGAGATTTGTAGAGGGAGGTCTGGAAGAGGGGGACGTTATATTACGGCTTGCATTGTGGCTGGGTGCAGCTTCATCTGTCATCTGGGAGACTTCAGTGGATGAGGGAGAGATGAACAGGGTTCTGTCTTTGCCCCATGCCACGCACATACGATCTGTACATTGGTTTCTGGGACGCTGCCATAGCGGTCTCAGTGTTACTTCCTAACTTAGTTGAAATTTCAGCATTGTTCCATCCTCCAGGGAGCTCCCCAAACTGCCACCGAATAATGTGTTATTGCTGATATATGCAATGTAATGTAAACTTTCAGAAAAACAAATGAGGAAATGTTAATAATAGCAGCAAGACCTGTCATGCATAGGTAGGAAGTACTGATCAAGCATTGATACAAGAAAAAAAAAAAATTTTTTTTTTTTTAAGAGTAAAGTCTCAGCCAACTTAATTTGGCTATGTGAGGTTCTTAGGCTGTGCATGTCCTTCATTACTTTTTATATGAAGCAGATGACAGTGAGGGAGCAGTATGCTCCACAGGACGGTGCTCTTGGTATTTTCTTGTGCCACCCCCTTGTGAGAGCAGAGACTAATACAAGTCAGCATGTCATTTTTTCAGTACTTCATCAACTGTGAACTTGCAGTAGGGTGAAATACAACAAGCTGGTATGGAACTGACTTCCGCTTATCCCTGATGCTGTTAGGGAATAGGAGATTAATTACTCTCTGCTTTGCAAATGAACTTTGTACTTCACCTGGTATTATTTTGGCTTCTGTGCTCCTATGGATCTGTGAATTCCATTCAATGTTTCATAGAGTCTAATAGAACAACCTAGCTTTAGATTATCTCATAGGATAACTTGATCAGGCTAAATTAATCAGCTAGGGACCACAAACTGGCTAATAAGCTATGTCAACCTCCAAGAGAAATGTATGAGATGGAGTAGTTAGAAGTTTGGTACATTCTTAATGCAAGTAAGACAGTTTCTTGACAGCAAAGAAATAATGCAAGTTTAGGCTTCAGTAGCCTTATTAAAAGCTGCATTAGCAAGAGATGGTTGAATTCAAACGAGTTCAAGTGGCAAGACCTGAACTCCCGTCTTAGGCAGTAGATCAGGCTAGGTAATCTCGTTGTCCTTGATCCCACAGGTATCGCTGTTCCAGTTATCTAATACTCTGCAGCTATAGCTTTGACTATTATATTTCATGTGCCTGTAGTCTATGTAACTGAAGCCTGTGTACATAAAGGTTATACCCTGTAAATACACGCTGAGATCCAGGGTTTGCAATCTTTGTTGTGATGTACTTTTTTTTTTTTTTTAATTCTCTGATATCTCATAAGCTGTTTGCCAAATAAAGGCAGTTGGCTTTTTTTTTGTCAGGTGAACAACTACTACTTTTTCTTCTGTGCCTCTGAAAATGGATTTAGAGACAAGAATCCAATCTCCCTCAAACCCAAAGACTGAGGATCATTTCCACCATTGTTCTATATGCAGTGTAGAACTGCACTGCCTTTTCCTCCCTTTACTTCCATTAAAATCAAGTAGTGTGCATCTTCTTGAGTATGTTCTGTGAAACAGAAACAAAATAGGACACTACCTTGCTGAGTTGGCAGGCTGCAATTTTTTGATTAGCGAGATGAACAGGATAATTAGCATATTGCCTAGCCTGAAAGTAATCCCCAGTTAGCGTAGGTGCAGGTGTGCCCAGCATGAATGGTAAATGGCTAGGCTTTACTCATGTTGTGGTGGTGCCTCCTAATTCACAAGCATTGTTTATTAAGAAGTTGATACACTGGTCATCTTTACCTTATTAATTGCAAGGCTATAATCTTCTAGAATGTCCGTTAAAAGTTCAGGTTGCAACTTTTTTCCCCATGAACGTGGTGATTTGTAGTTAGATGTACAAAGGGAGTTTTTTGTTGCAGTGTACAACTGAACAGTGTTCCAGTCCCGTGTTGGGAGTGCTGCAGTCTTCTGCCATGCCATGGGACAGGAGCTAACACGATAAGCGTGCAACTCTCTGCATTGCCTATTAAGAAATGCCTTGGAAGAAGGGATGGAGAAGAATATACTTTAAATACTAATTCTGTACAGCAATGTGTCCATTTAGGATTCTCAAGTATAAGGCCCTTCCTGAATTTAGGAGCCTAAAGCCAGCTTGATCCTTTCTTCACACTGGTAAGTGATTCTGTGATGAGACTGTGCTTGTGAGGGATGTGCTCTAAAATCCCACCGTGTGGTTAAGAACATAACCTGAATCTCTTGCCCAGCACCAGCCCTCTGCTGTGTTGCAACAGTGGATGTGCCAAATGCCTTTTCTGACTTTGTAAATTTTCTCTGGCACAGTGAGCAGAATGGCTGAGCTTTCTGATGTTTTGGGGAAGCTGTAAACAGGAAGGGGTCAGGTAAGCAGTTTGAAATTCCATGATAATGAATATTTGGCTTTTTATTAGAAGAGGGGCTTTTCAAACAGACAGGGAACTCTGAATGCTTGACAGATTTAAAGTGTATGTCTGTGTGAGGGAAGCAGTGGACTATGTCCACAGGAGGTGGGAGATGTGGTTTCAAGTTCCTGTCTTTAAGTATGGCCAAGAAGCATTTTTAAACTTGGTTCTCCCACAGTAATCAACTGGGCTGTTTGGTAAATGCCACACCTTTTCCCTCCCCCTCGATTTCTGTGCCTAGTTGCAATTCACGAGGCAAGGCAGAGTAACACCTACCAGCTTAGTGTCTGAACTTGATTTGAGTTCAAGGGTAGTCAGATATTGTGAAAGCTGCTCAGTCTGGTTAACGAGCCGATTACGGTTGGAAGATGCTATTCCCAGAGCATCCTGGAAAATATTTTGTTTAAGTAACGAGCAAATGAAATGGCAAGACTCAATAGGAAAGATCGAACTACTTCTATTGTCATGGTCTGTGGAAAGCCACAACTAAATGGTAGGCAGCATTAAGTCCAGGATACAAAGTTCTTCCCTCTTGTGGGCCCTCCAGAGGATTTAGTGTGAATGAAAGGGAACAGTGAGATAAAAGCTAGCTAGATGTAGCCAGATGTCCAGAGAGATTAAGATGCACGTGATTATGTGATAGGGAAGGTGCCTGAAGAACCAGCATGGACAATTTGAACACAGCCGAGAAGAAAGTGAGCACAAGGGAGACTGACAGAAGGGTAGGCCAAGGCCTCTGCTTCAGATCTGGTGCTTGGATTAGTGATCTGCTGAGCCTGCTTGTGGGCTCTCTTGTTATTAATGCTTTGAATGTTTCTCCATGGATTGAGTAAGTCTACTGCTTCTAGCAGTTTAGGGTGCTTTTTCGGCGTACTGCTCCTCTCCATTTAGGAACTCATGACTGTAAACTCTCACATAGTCTGTAATGCAGGTTAGGAGATAGAAACTGATCTTGCTAGGGCTTGGGGTGTGTATGTACACATGCATGCATAAACAGACATGCATAAGCAAGGAATGGTTGTTGAGAAGTTAAAAAAAGTGTTAAAAATGGTTTATAAAATAATCAGGGCACGCTGTTATCTTCTGATTCCTTAAAGTGCTGTGTTTCTGTCATTAAAAAAAGTCTTGAGCCCCTCTTTTGGTTGGGGTTGGGGCAGGGAAGACTCTTCCCTATTTTTCAGGAATGCGTGCTGCTGCATTTCTTTCCTGATGTTGGGGGCACTTTTGATTTTTGGTTTGTTACTGTTGAGTAATCTGTCTTTTCCAAGGCAAGGGCTCTTACACACTGAGAAGACGCTTTGCTCATGCTTTATGCAGATGGCATTCTGGGAGCTGGGGTTTTTGTTAATTTCCTTTCAGTCCCAGCCTGACTTCCAAAAGGGAGTATCTGTCAGAGTCTGACAGGCAGAGGAAGAATCTCTGCAATTGGGATTCTAAAAAAAAAAAAAAAAATGTCAGCTAGATGAAGCATCAAGGAAAGAAACCATAAAAGTCTCCCCCCGTGGCTCCTGTCCTCGCATTTGCGCTCAAAACAGCTATCCCGTGTTTAGCATTGATGCTAAATGACCTACTTTATTTTAAATTTGTGTAAGGTAAGGTACACACCTCAGTCAGCGCCAGTCTGTGGAGGTTGTGTTGCACAGGCTGAACATAGAACACAGCACCAGCTGAAACAGGATGAGCCGTTCTGTCTGTGGAATGAAGCGGCCCCTACCCAGCCAAACCCTCAACCCATCAACTCTTCAGAACTGCAGACCAGAAAGTGGCAATACAGAAGATCCACCTAGAATACATTATGACATACTGTAAGGTGGTCTGCTGTCTAGACATTGTGCTGGCAATCTGCTTGCTTTAGTTGCTTACAAAACTGATAGCTCGACCACAATACAATTTCTTGTTACTGGCCGATACAGCACCGCAGTAGGCTGTTAGAGAAATGTTGGGTTACACACCAGCCTAGAATAAATGAAAACAAAAAAAATTATGACTAAAACCTTAAAATGGGCATACTGAGTCTAGCAAGCAGGGCATGCTTGTAAACATATGCCAAGTCTCTTGATGGTCTGGCCACGTGACGCAGAGGTTTGACATGCTGGAAGCAGGTCCTGGGACAGTGCGGCCATCACAGCCCGACATGCTCTTGGTTGAAGGCAAGCCGTTTTAGCTGGGCAGGAAAGATTGCTCAGGACCCAGGCCAGGCAGGTAACT